TTTACAATGTCTTTTTGGTACATAAAAAGAAGAAAACAAGCTGTATTAGAAGAACCAACCCAAATATGACATTAGTGTTCCATATATGGGTGAATAAGAATAATTTTTATAGGTAAAGAATGGAATCAGGAGTAAGAAAGTGACCAGCATAGTAAAAAGAAGTTAATTATCAGATGCTAATTTTGAAATTAATTGTGAGTATGGTTTCCATGAGAGGTCAGATGGGAATAATAATCAAATAAGAGGGAAAAAAGAGGATTAAGTGAGATGGTCGCCTTTTATCAATATACAAATGTTGGCAATATTGCGATTTTTTTGTTTGTTTGTTTTTAGCACAAAATAATCATTTGTGGTAAAAAAAAGGCTCTCAACTAAAAAACTAAAAAAAAGGCTCTTAACTGCTACATTAACTGACAAATAGGTAGAACATGCAAGAAATGCTTTATTAACTGACAAATAGGTAGAACATGCAAGAAGTGCTACATTAACTGACAAATAGGTAGAACATGCAAGAAGTGCTGCTATTTTTAACTGACAAATAGGTACAACATGCAAGAAGTGCTACATTAACTGACAAATAGGTACAACATGCAAGAAGTGCTGTTATCATCCCATCAACTATATAAAGAAGGCTACTGCCTTTACCACTTATAACTGACCACAACATCACTTTTAGAGGGTGTTTTACCTTCTCCATAACACAGTCTGGGTTAGATATTTCTTTTTTCCTTCGTCTAACAAAAGAAAACTTATCAATTAATATTTCAAATTGGGATCTGAGAAACACACCTAAAAACAATTAAAATAATAATATAAAAACTTATTCAAATGTTTTATTCTCCAATGCTGTTGCAATTAACAAATATAATTATTTACTGATATCTTCCCAATCTTCAGCAGACATATGTAGGTGTTGTTTAGCCCAAGTGAGGTGCTTTAATTTCATCGCTGGCATAAATTTAAGTTTTCTTGCATGGCTGTAGCATTTAAACTCCATTTCTTCTATTCGACACTTTATAGTTCTGTTAGAAATCTTGAAATCTTCTATCAAGTTTCTTCTATGATTTTAGTAACTGCTTTTGTACTTTTTTTGCAGTTTTCAACACAAATGTTAAGAATTGCCTGTTCATCTCCTACATTTTCTACTTCTGGCATTTCTTACAGGTATTTTTTATATTAAGTTTACCTTTGATTCTACTTACTGTCATTTCAGAAACTTCAACTAAATTTGCAATTTTTTTTTGGGAGTGATTTGAATGTTTTAATAAATCAGATATTTCTATATTTTATTTGTACCATATATCTTTAGCTTTTCACATATTTATTTTCATATATCACATATATTACACCAAATATTTTCAATAAAAATGTAAAAAAAAATGAGTAAGAGTCACAAACAGTTGTCAAAATTTTACATGCATGTTATTGCGCAAATAACAATTTTGCAAATAATATGCAAAATAACGCATTTCGCAGGTTTTTGCATATTTTAACTTATTTATGCTAAAAATTGCCACAATTATTTATAAATGCTACAACTTCATAAAAAAAATGTAGAAAACTATAATTGATATTAAAATCTCAAAAAATGAAAGAATAGAAGCAAATTTATTTATTTAAAATCCATATTTAATTGTAGTTTTTTTGAAAAAACAAACTGTAACTACTAATGTATCCATCTAATGTATATATACATACATACATATTCACACACACACGCACACATATATATATATATATATATATATATATATATATATATATATATATATATATATATATTTATATATATATATATATATATATATATATATATATATATATATATATATATATATATATATATATAATGGTGGCTTTGAGAGTACGGAAGGATAAAAGATGATTCTTTTGACAACAAATTATGTTACTTTTAATTACTTTTGACATTCATCCAACATTTACATGTAGTCATAAAGTTTAAACCATTAGTTTAATCACTTTTTTTCAAAACCGCAAAAATGCAAATTTATTTGACCAAAATGTTTTTAAAAACATTTCGAATGTTTTCAAAAAGAAAAGATTTTGAATGTTTTTAAAAAGAAAGAAGATTAAAGGCTCTTGATATATCAAAATCAATTGGAGTTGATTTAATACATCCTTTTGTTTTAAAACAATTCACTATATCAATTTCATATCCTCTTTATTTAATATTTAAAAAATCTACAGAAAATCTATAACGCCTATATTGAAACAAGAGAGTAAGTTGAAACCAACAAATTACAGACCAGTATCTCTGACGTCAATATCATGCAAAATATTAGAAAGAATAATTGCTGATAATATCATCAAGCATTTAATAACTAACAAGCTATTAGCAGAGGAACAGCATGGCTTTCTAAAAGGTAGAACTTCTTACTAGAATTTCTTGATACCTTAACAAGCGCATTATTATATGGTATTCCAATTGCATTTTGTAAACCAACTTTCAAAAAGCATTCGACAGAGTATCACACATAAA